CCCATATAACGGCATTACTAAATTGTCAGGATGGTTGGGATGGCACATTTCAGAAAGGAATTGTTTAAAATGTAGTGCCTGAATTTTCTTCTGGTATTATATTGTTGTGAGATGAAAAACTGCAACCAACTTCAGAATGCTGTCATTTCCAAGCCAATCGTCCAACAGCTGTTAAAATTATTCCAGTGACAACTCATTATACAGGGTGAGATGAAAAAACTGCAACCAATTTCAGACTGCTGTCATTTCTAAGCCACTCGTCTGACAGCTATTAAAATTAATCCAGTGCCAGCTCATTATATTGTTTACAAACGTACAGAAGCATTTTGGTCATAATTTTCCAGAAAAAAAGTTATTCGTGATGGAATTCAAGCGTGATAATGTGATTTCTTTATATTTGGCTGGAAAACCACAAGTGGCGATCGTTACAGCACTCCGATGAGAAAGCATTCGTTGTCCAGCAGTTTGTAAACAAACAAAATGATCGTGTTTACTCGCCAAAGAGGTCAGCTGAAAATGTGCACCTTCGGTTGGCCACCAGAACTCAAGCGCCGGCCATGGTGATGATGTGGGCCGTCATAACAGCCGATGGTCGCTCACCTCTCGTATTTATCGACCGCGGCATTAGAATAAATGCCGAATATTATCGCGAAAACATTCTGGAGGGTGTATTAAAGCCTTGGCCACGCAAACATTTTGGAAGCGCACCTTGGGCATTCCAACTGGACTCAGCACCATCGCAGTCAGCACGCGCCACCAATGAATGGTTACGAAATGAGGTTCATCGCTTCATTTCCAGCGCACAATGGCCACCAAAATCTCTCCGTTGGACTTTTGTGTCTGGAGTATTTTCCAAAGCAAGGTTGGCACTAAAAACACCAAAGTGTCAATCACCTCAAGAAAGCGCCAGGAATGGGGCAAAATACCGCAGAGAAGCATTCGGGCAGCGTGCGACGGTTTCATTGGCCGTTTGAAGGCCATAATTAGTGCCAAAGATGACCAATCGAACAAATCTAAACTTATTCTGAAATTTGAAGCTATTTCCGACATTTTTTGCTTTCGTTCAATAAAATTAAAAAAAAAGTAAAACTTATGTCGTTTGACTTTGTTGCAGTTTTTTTTCATCTCACCCTGTACATAGCTCCACGTACCATAACGGTACCTCACGATATACGGTGTTTAGTGTCAAGAGGTTTCAATGGAATTCCCTTGAATCCGAAAATATGTCTTCGGTTTTGCACATAACCCCCTTGTAACAATATCCCCGAGATTCAGTATTGCAATTATTTAACCACATTTTCAATAAAATTGACTGGAATTCTATATATGAAATTCTTATTTTATACAAATTATCCTATGTTTGATAAATGGAATTGTTTGCACTTGATTCTTCCCCATTTTAGTATTTTGATGGTTTTCACCACAACTTTATAAATTTATTTATATTCTATTATTTATTTATACTTCCTAAATTTGTTATTTTAAATATATACGTTTATTGGTTCTCAGAAACAGTATGTAACATTGGAGTATCAAGTCTCAAAAATGAGGTTTTTACCTAATGGTTTCAACGGTTTGAATGATTTTAATTTTTTGTAAATTAGGTTTGTTGCACTTAACTTTGAGTTTTAGCACCGACATCTGTTGGTACATACATTTACAATAATCATAATTTCAGAAACACATATTCCACATATATTTATTTTTTCTTTTGAAGACCGTAAATATTATTTCTAAAAATTTACGATTTGTTGTTCCAGGAGTCCTTATTTTTTAAATATTTGCGACTTTTTGTCAAAGGACATAAAAAATTAAAAAAAATCACGACCTTTGTGCGAACAATACCATAAAAAATATTCTAAAAATGTCACTATTCTTTGACGACGACCGAGGAAATTTTCGGTAGTTTCTGTAGGTCTAAAACCTTTTGGACTTGAATGAAAAAATCCCTCAAAATGATCGCTCAGATTTAGCTACATTTATGTATTAGTGATTTCATCGGAAAGTGACTTTCGTCGATAAAACCTGAATTGTTGGTTCATTTCATCCCATTAATAATTTACGGTCATCTCCCCAACTAGAGGCTTCAATTCTAACCCTAGAACTCCCTTTGAAATTCGAACATTTCAATTGTAATTCGGGTATCCATTAGTAATTCGTAAAATTCCAATTGCAATATTTTGTCCATTTCCGGATTAAACTTAAGTTTGAATAACTCAATATATAATATTTGACTAACTTACTAAATAATATTTCGATGCATCAAGTTTGGACCTAATCGGATACTGCCTTGAGAGTTAACGTGCGGGAGGGCACCCCTAGATCGACTCTTAAGTTCCTGAAACGAATTTGGTTCAAAGATACCAAGGGTATACAACCGTTTCTTCGATGAGGCTAGTTTTGGTCATATCATATGATATATACTCTCTGTAGCCTCTGATTGAGGGTATAAAAAGTAGACTGATATGAGTGAATTCAATGTGCTGGGAAGATTTTATAGCCACAGCGAAGCCAACAGAATATGTTGTGGAATTGATCTCAATAATCTAAAGTAACAAGTGACGGCAAACCCGACAGATACATCCTTATTTATTTTAAATAGTTCTGGTAATTCTTAACAAAAAAATAGCAAAAATATATTTCCAACAATAATGCCAATATGCATTCTTTTGTAAAACTGTACGCTCAAAAGTTAAAAAGTAAAAATATATTAAGTTATAAGTTCGGCCAGGCCGAACATTTAATACCCTCCGCCATTTGGATCGAATTTGTTAAATTTCAAAAACAAAAAAAAACCGTTAAAAATTATGTTAAAATCTTAAAAATCCCGAATGTAGCCATTATTATATTAAGGTCTATTCTACGACGTGGACCTGCCTAGGCAACTTTTGTCATAGGTCATTACTGTGAATAATGTATCTAAAATCATCAAAATACCGAATATAAGGAGGTACTATTATATTCGGGATATACTAAACGTGCACCATCACAGACAAATTTCAGTCATAGGCTGTAGTATTCATTACGAACTTCAAATACCAAAATACCGAAAATAGGGAGGCACCATTACATGGGGGGCTATACCAAAACGTGGACCTATATGGCCCATTTTCAATACCAACAGTACTGCAGACATTATATACGTGTGAGTAATATTTTATCAACCCACCTCATTTCGTTCGGAAGCTAGAATGATTTTCACAGACGGACGGACATCGCTAAATCGACATGGAATTTTATGCTGATCAAGAATATGTGTACTCAAGAATATATATTCTTTGTGGGGCCTAAAATGTATACTTCGAGGTGTTACATACAGAATGACAAACTTAATATACCCTCCATACTATGATGGAGGGAATAAAAATGATGGTGTACTAGTGAGTCCGTTAATTTGATTTTTATATGATATTGTCAACATTGTTTGCTTATTTTTAGAAGAAAGAACTTCCTTTACTCTCCATTCTCTAGAGAGAATATTTTCTCACAAACTAATTTTTGCAGTGAAAATTAATATTTCTCTTAATGTGCCTGCTGAATTATGCCATGTCTCTCCCTCTTTTCCCACCTGGTTTCAACTTAACTGACAAATGATCATTAACTCTTGATCGTAATTGTGGTTTGGTTTTGCGGTTACAAACTTGACTCTTTGGGATTTTTCTTATGACTCACAAACGCACACACAATACATACAACAATGTAGGGAGGACAAGTGTTGTTGCTGGCTGGTAAGTTGGTTGGTGGTTTTTGGTATGAAGCGACAAGAGGCTCCGAAGGTTTGTTGGTTGAACCAAAACATTGGCATTGAGTTGTTGGGGCAACACATGTGCGTGTCTTTCTGCTTGCTTTGAGCACAAGAATGAAAGAAAATGGCAAAAACTCGCGTTCTTTTCCTTTTTGTTGCTTACATAGAACGAAGAACAAACTTCAATTGTTGGTTGGCGTTCTTGTTGGCAATGAGCAACACCACCAACCCATCTAAGAAGCAGCACAACATTTGTTGGATGTGTGGAGTTCATGGATGGATGAATTGCTATGACGGCGACGGGAATGATGATCATGATGAAAAAATGCGAGTTTGGTATGGTGTGGTTGGTATTGCCTTGGCTTTGACTTTGGCCACCAGCACAATCACCAACAACAACATTAAAATGACGATCATCATCATTGGCATTATAACGATTATGATCACGTTTATGATCATTGTTACGACGAGGATGACAATAATTATGAATTTCATTTTGGCATTTGCTGTTTTTCTTCAATGTTGCTGTTGTCGTTGTTGTTGTTGCTGCTGCTTAAAGCCTTTGTTGCTCTCCCATTTTCTGTAGTGGCGGAGTCGTCGTAACATTCTGGTTTTCTATCTTCATTTCTACTTATTCTTCTCCTTTTGGCCAAGAAGCTGGAGCATATGAGTATGAAGTGGCGCTGTTGATTATCTTTTCAGGGGTTTTTGCTGTTGCTCGAGCCAACTTAGTTTTGCTCATTGCGAAAATGTGCTGAACGAAGAAAGAAGTCTTCTAACTTATATAACAACTCATTACATTGGTAAAAGACTTTAGTTCCACATCGACCTTACATTGGTCAAGATCGGTTACAAAGTTTCCATAATTTCTGCTCCGTTCTTGAGTGAGTGTATGACGTTCTAGATTGATATTGAAAAATAAATATTCCTTGTTGACTGATTTGATAATTGAAATACGGAGAGAAATAAAATATATGTGTATCTAAAGAAATTTAAATAAAAAATAAAATTGATGAGCAGAGTTCTCCAAAGAAAATTTTGTGGATTTATATGAAATAATATTGAAAAGTAAACAACTTGAATTTCGTTTCTTTGCAAACACACACGCAGGAAAATTGGTGCTTGTTGAAAGAAAAACTGAAAACAGAATTTTTGTTTTAGAAGTGAAACAGGTGTTATTTTGATTGTGGGTGATTTGAGAATTGTGAATTTTGACAAACTGAAAATTAAGAAAAAAAAGGAAAACACTACGAACCTTTGATAAGGTGAGCTGAAATAACAATTTATTTAATTTTGTTATTATAATAAAAATTGTAATTTTATTTTACGTATTAAAAATTTTTTTAAGATTTATTTTTTAAATTTCGATCTATAATAAATTTAAAGCACTACATTTAAAAAAAAATTATATATATTCGGGTTTAAGGTCCCAAATATAGTCCCAATATTGGTGTTAAATGAAAATAAATATTTGCTGGTTGGATTGAAACTGAACTATATGGATCGAGGTTTGCATAGTTTTTCTGGTACCGCCCCAAAAATTCAATATTTTTCGAAGAATTATACATCTTATAAATAGGACAAATATCATTCGATTTTACTGAAACTTGGCGTATTGTAATATTTATATCAGCCTAGTATCATGGACAAGATCGACTTATTTATTCTTGTAACAACCAAACAATAGTTCTTTATTGAAAAAGGGAAAAAAATCAGTGATTTTCTTCCGAAGATATTTTTGGCAATCTTAGACGATTAGATGAGTAAATATGGAATGTATATGTGCACCCCTACTGGTACCGCCTCCAACAAAAATGATATATTTCGATCAGTTAAAGTCCGGCAATATAGGCCAACTTTTTCTCTTACATCTCCAACATCAGGTCAAAATTATGAATCATAATTACACTTATAAAAACAAACTTTGCACATCTGTGCACACCTACTGGTACCGTCTCAAAAAAAAAAAAAAAAAAAAAAAGACTAAATTCGCTCAGTTAAAGTCCGGTAAAAAAAAACAGACAATATACGCCAACTTTTTCTCTTACCACCCCCATATCAGGTCAAAATTATGAATTATAATTACACTTATAAAATGTGCCCGAATGTCTTCAAACTTTGCACATCCCAATAGTTCTGCAAATATTGCAGATAGTGTGGAGATAAAACCCATCGGACTACTCTTTCTGGTACCTCCCCTATAAACGGCCAATATTTTGAGGAAAAACTCACAAATTACATATAAAGCGTAGAGTACTCATGACGAAGTACACATTTGTAGCGAAGATAGAAAATGTGGGTCCAATTTTTATGGATCCTCCATCATTAAGGGTACAATTCTGAATTGTGCTAATTCGCATAAAAGGTTGAATTAATTACCAATTTGCCCAAAACTTTGAAGTTTTGTTGGGAAATATAGGTTTATACCTTCTGGAACCTCAACAATAAAGTCAAACATCTCTCGGACAAATCTCAGATTAGTCGATTAAAATATTCGGCCGAATTTTGAAAGTTTTAGCAAGAGGCTTAATAGATTTGAATTGTTTAAGGATTTTGGTTACAAAAGTTTTATAAAATTCCGAAAATATATCTAATTATAAAATTAATTAATTTAAACTTACTCAATATTGCAATGAAAACATACCTGGAATTAAATGAAAATATTATTTTTATTGTAAATTTCATATTTTAATAATTTAAAATAATTATACAAAAACCTGAAATTATATAGAAATTGAAACTGATTATTTTGACTGATTATTTAGATAATGGACCTTTTGAATTTATTAATGGTTGCCGCTTCTATTAGCAAAATATAGGGCGCGAATTTGTGCCTCAGGGGCTATAAACCCTGTAAAAATTTACAGATATATGTCCACAATTTGGAATAACCCTAATTTTCATTTTTAGGTGGTAGATTAAAGAAATTATTTAATATTTTCTAGGCAAGGTCGATTTTCTCAATGATATCCTGGCGAAAAATTATATAATATAATACTTTCCTAAGTACGTAATGTTTTGATATTTGCAAGACTTGGCCCAATTTTAGGGTTTCTTAATATATTTTTCTATATTTGACAGATGCTAAGACTTTTTAAAAATATTTTTTCAAGTACTTCATTTTTAAAACTTTTTGATTTGTTAAACAGTTTTTTTTTTTGTACAAGATCTTCCTGGCCAAAAATCATGGAATCAAAAATTATTTTGTCAAGGTATTTGGGGAAAAATATCGAAAACTTTTAAAAGCAAATTTAAAATCTTCTAGACGAAATCATTATTTATTTCAAGGATTTTATTGAAAAAAAATTTCTAGATTATAAAGCAGTATCAAAAGGACGTAATTTAAAAAAAAGGAATCCTGGCATAAGGTCAATTCTGTCAAATATAGTGAATATCTTATTATGCGAGTGAGTTTGCCGCATTTTAATATTTGTTTCTTACTTCGACAAGAAATCTCCAAACTTTATGGATTTTTTGAAGGAGAATTCTTGAATTTTTAACAACTTTTTTTAATAGTTTCTTGCCAAAGGATCGTGCGTTTAAAAAATGTTCTCAAGGCCTTTCGTTAAAAAAAAAAATACATTAAATATATATTAATTTTAAGAACTTCTAGCACAAAAATTGTGGATTTTTTTTAAGTATATTTAATATTTTCTTTTCAAAATGGTGAATCAAACTTCTCCGCAAAAAGTCATGGAGATTTTGAGACAATTTCCCGAAGAAAGTCATGTAAAAAATCAGGGATATTTACGATATGTCCAATTTTTTTCAGACTTTAGAAAATTTTGAAAACTTAAGTTATCTAATTCCTGCGAAGATTCGTAGAGAAAAAAATTTCCAAGGTCTTATCGTATTTTTATAAAACTTATAGTATTTTTATACGATAAGACATTGGAAATTTTTTTCTCTACGAATATTCGCAGGAATTAGATAACTAAAGTTTTCAAAATTTTCTAAGTTTGAAAAAATTTGGACATATCGTAAATATCCCTGATTTTTTACATAAATTTCTTCGGAAAATCGTGCACCTTAAGAAGATTTTTTCAAAAGCTTCCTTGACAAAATCGTGGATTTTCAAAGATTTGTTGGTCAAAACTTCCTTGCAAGATGTAATTCAGAATTTAAGGATATTTTCTCAAGGACGTACTACATCATGGATTTTTTCAAGAACTTGTTCGAAGATATTTTGGCCAAAAATCTTCAATGTATACCAAATTTGGAGCTTCTTACTACAATTCATAACTTTGACCAGATGACAGGTTTTTTAGGTAAATATTTTTAATTATATTTTGTATTTTAAAGAAATTGCCAATGAAGAATCATTGAATCTTTACAACAAGTTACTGGCCAATATTTTTCCACGTTCATTTGGGACAAAACTCACGCATTTTTTTAAATGTTTTTTATACCCTCCACCATTCTATGGAGGGTATATTAACTTTGTCATTCCGTTTGTAACTCCTCGAAATATTTATAATAGACCCTAAAAAGTAAAATTCTGAGACAATCTAGCGATGTCCGTCTGTCTGTCCATCTGTTGTAATCACTATCTTTCGAACGAATTGAGATAGAGGGTTAAAATTTTGCATACATACATAGATTACCAGGTTAAGGTTAAGTTCGTAAATGGGCCATGTCGATAACCCCCATGTAACGGTACCTCCCGATATTCGGTATTTTCATGATTTTGGAGACAATATTTATCGGAATCATTTCAAATTTCATATTTAAAATTCGTAATGGGTACTCCAGCCTACGACAAACGTCCTCGTATAGCTACCATATGACGGTACCTCTCGATACTCGGAATTTTCATGGTTTTTGCGACATTATTCACCGAAATTGTAACAAATTTCGTAAAATTTCGTTAAAGTTCGCAATGGGTACTACAGCCTATGATAAAAAATTTCGTATGCAGGTTCACGTTTTCGTATATCCCCCATGTAACGGTACCTCCCGATACTTGGTATTTTCATGATTTTAGCGACATTATTCACCGGAATTGTAACAAATTTCGTATTTAAAGTTCACAATGGGTTCTATAGCCTATGACAAAAAGGTTAATGTATTCCCCATATAACGGTTTTCAATTAAGTGGTAGTTTTCATGATTTTAGCGACATTATTCACCGGAATTGTAACAAATTTCGTATTTAAAGTTTACAATGGGTTCTATAGCCTATGACAAAAAGGTTAATGTATTCCCCATATAACGGTTTTCAATTAAGTGGTAGTTTTCAGATTTTTTTTTCAAATTTTCAAGTTCCTTCCAAATGGTGGAGGGTAGTAAAAGTAAGTTAAAAGCCGAATCTGGTTGTTCTTTTATTCGTTTATCCTATCATTGGATTTTAGAACAATCAGTAAAGAGATTTTAGAAAACTTGACCCGAGGTAATAAACAATTTTTTTTTGGTTTGTAAACAAAATATATCAGTATGTAGTAACTGTTTTGATTGATTGACTGAAACCCTTGGTGAAATTTGTATTTTTCTGTAAGATAAAATTCCCAGCACTGGTAAGCCAGAGGTTAAATATAATTCAATTTGGTTCTCCACCAAAGAATTTTCAGACTTATATTTTTTTACTTCCATGACTAAAAAATCATTTATATAACAAGTTTTTTCCATCGAAAATAAATTTCAAACATTTAGAAAAAAAAAACTTTTCATTTAAAAGAAAATAGGAATACTTCAAGAGAAAAGTAGCTCCGAGAATTTTTATAATAACTCCAAATAATTATCTAATTACGCACCACAACAAGAAACCAATTAACGACCAGCCTGCTAATGCATTTGGTGTGTTTGTTTTAATTGTGGCCATTGACAGTTGGACACCCTGGGCTATTCATTATTCCATGAAGTAGTATACTTTTCATTTTTCCACCAAGAATATTTTCCTAAGAAATTCTCCAAAAATAAAACCGAAAACATTTATTACCACTTTTACCGAAGAACGACAGCACTCACTCTCGTTGGTGGCCGGTGCTCACTTTCCATTTAAGGCCATTAACATTTAATTCAATACAAAATGTAATAAAAATTCATGAAAGTAGTTGCCATTGCATGATGCATTTATATTTCATTCATTGCGGGTTTAACCTTTGTGGCCATGAACAGCCGGCTAGGACGGCTAGCCAGCCACACAAAACAATTCTCATGGTTAAATGATAATCATGTTGATTTTTTTATTCATTTTTTTCCCTCTACTAGTCCTCCATACAAGCCTAGTTAAAACCTTCATTGCTTGTTATTGAGAAAATGTTCCGAAACCAC